TTTAACTGAGTGCATGCTAGATTTGAGCATACAGCTTATTTTTCATTTTTAAATTTTTTATTTTAAACACATAATCCCTAGGTGAGGAATTTCATCTTAACTAAATGTTTGATATTTGACATTGCTAATTTTATGTTTCTATTTTCAATCCACATTGTATCCATGTATTTCCCTGCTAAATTATCCTAATGTCAGTTAAAATTCATGCAATGATATGTAAATCTGCCTCACTGGGAGCACATCCATTTCTAGGCATGGTGAAGTATTGATTGGAAACAACCAGTTGAGAGTCCCAGTGTCCCCAGGACAGCCTTTCAGAATCACAAGATGTGTCTGCCCACCTGCTTTAGGCTCCTAAAGGCCTGATGCAACATGTAGCTGCCTGGAACTATCAATAAGAATCTACATATTAAATGCTTATTAAATCTTAACTTATTTTTTTATTTTTGGAAATAGTAAAAATCAGAGTTTGTCTTTATGCCTTTATACACTCTTAGGCACCCTGCTTTGCACGCCATTACTTCATAGAGGTATACTCTTTTTATGACTACCTGGTGGGTCCTGTCCTCACTGAAACCTGTGTAAAGTTTTCTTGATTTAGCTTTGATAATTTTTCCTCTTGTTCTGACATGAAGCATCATGTGGCCCAGCAGATGCTAGACTAAGATTTGTTGCAGCTATAGTGAAGGTTCTTATTTTCATTCTCATAGTCAATGTAAGAACTCAGGCTCTATTTGCTTCAAGGGGCATAACTGATAGGGCTGTTTCCTTCATCTTTCCTTGTCTTGCTATGATCATCGATTTTGGCCTTAGAGGGAAAGTTGTACTTTGTTTTGGATTGTGATTGCTTAAAAGATGGACATTACATTAAACTTTAAGCTACCATATCAGTTATGGATCATTTTATAAGTAGTGAAAGGAACAAAGGGTCATAAGGAACATTTTGTGCATCTGTAACTGTGCAAAATCAACTAAACAAATGCTGACTTTAAATATTTGCATCATTTGCCACACAGCAGGAGTATTTATATCTTGTGGAATATATGATTGTAATTTTAATTGCAAATGTGCGTGAGATAATATTCTTACTTGTTGTTCATCAGCCATTAATAGATATTACTGCATTCTCTACATTTCATTATAAAATTGATAAACCTTTATTGTACAAAATTTAGCAAAGAATAAAAATGTTGATAAATACCCTCAAAATTCAGTATGTTTACTATTTTGTTATGATTCTCTTTTCTCTAATTTTTTCCCTATGAGATGCTAAGCTTTATTTTGTCGTATTCTCTTTTAAGCATTTATGTTAGAGTATGTCTTTAGAGATCTGGAAATCATAGCTACGTAAGCAATGGTAGGGGACCCACCTAAAAATTTGCTAGCCATTGTCATTGTAGGTTTTCATAATGTTCAAATTTGGATTCATAATAGCGATCTATGAAATTACTGGATTTTTACTAGCCCCTTGTTGGTATTTAACCAGCAAACACTCACTTTAGATCTCATTAACAATGCCACACACTTCAACTGTCTTTATGAGGTCTCTATCATACAGTTTTATCAATAAATTTGGAATTATGACCACAAATTGAAAAAGAAATAATTAGCATGTTTTAAGCACTGTTTGATACATAGATGTGACTTGAATTGTTTCTGTATTTTTAAATGTGTTTTAAATGCTCAAAAGTGAGTAATTTCTATTTCAAAATTATTTCCTTTTAAAAGTCTTTAATAAAGAGTTTATAAATTTCTGTTAGCAAATGAAAGCCCATGATGGTGAGACATAAGGAGAGGAGAGGTTGTGCAGTGAAGAAGCACACTTAAGAGGCAGACAGCTCAGTGGGTGGATTCTTAAAACAAGCCTGGTGGAGAAAAACACAAAAGCTATTAAGACTTTACAGTATACTGGCCAAGAATGATTCTGCCTTAATGTACCTACACTGCTAAGAAAATGCTGCTGTACTAAAGTTTGTAAGACTGAAACACTGTAACAGAGGGAAAAAAAGCTTGGTGGTGTGGGACTAATGGTATTCGCATTATAGTCAAGTCATGAGTAGAATCTCTTTTCTGCTGGAGTTGAAAATATGCAAATTACAACATGAATGATATGGACAGAACCTCAAACTTGTGGTGCTGCATTTGCAAACCTGGTGTGGTATTCATGAGGATGGGACAGAAACTGGGAAGGTGGGAACTTGTCCAGCTCCAGGGTGGGATAGATACAAACTTTCAAGGACTTTGATACTCTCACAATTGCATTCACCTATGACTATGTAGGACTGAGACACAGCTGGTGGTGATCACAGAAATGGTACCACTTTTGTTTACTTCCTTGATTTTATTTTTATTAAGCAGTTTGACTTACAATGGAGTTTGTAAACCAATTTAGTTTAATTGTTCCATTTGTAGAGAGCACATAGACTTTATAGGGCAGACTGGGTGTTCATTCTCAAGCCCCAGCCTTGTAAATTCTGTGCCCTTTGTAAAATTACTTAATTGTTCTATTTCTCAATTTCCTCATCTTTGAACTCGCTCCCTTGACTAGTAGTGAAGATTCAATGAATGAATCAGTTTTCTAAGGACACATAGTTATCAGTTTTTAAAAATAGGAACACCAAGAATTGTGAAATCAGGTAAAAAATTTAAATTAGATTTCCTTTATGATTATAAGAACACTAGAAAATATAATTTTGTGTTTTATTGTTACTCTCATAATAGAGATAAGGTATGCTTTATAAGAGGCACAGTATTAGTGCACGGGAAGCTGTGAGTGAGGTTATAGGCTCTTCCTGCCTTGACTGATCTAATTAACTAAATTCTGGATGAACTAGTGGCTAGAATATAGGGTATTTTAAAACAAGTGATGACAGAACACACAGGTTTTTAATAGAATAGTTGTCAGTCTATAAAATTCTTTGTGTGTTTTCACAGGAGTTAAGAAATTCTTCCCTGTTTTTAGTTGTGTTTTTGTTTATTTGTTCAATTATTTGGTTGTTTTTGAGACGAGGTCTCACTATGTAGCTGTGGCTATGTAGACAAGGCTGGTCTCAAACTCACAGAGATCCACTGCCTTTGCCTCCTTATTGTTGGGATTAAAGGTGTGTGCCACCACACCTGGTTTCTTTATGTTCTTTTTCATGCTACCAGTTTCCAAAGAGCATAAGCAATGCAACCAATTGTAGAAACTGGTCTGCAGTAGAGAAAGGATATGTTGAAAAAATAAATGTATGGTTGTATTTTTTTAATTAATGCACATTTAAAATTGTGGGATTTGGGGAGGAGTTGGGGAAGGTGAAATCATGATTAGAATACATTGATTGAAAAAAATCTATTAAAAAACAATAACTAATACTCAAGCAATGGTTACCTTAGTTTTCAACCTGACTGGATTTCCTTATCTTGAAACCTGGTATGGAGGATATATCTCTGATCATATCTGTGAGGAAATTTCCAGATAGTATTAACTACAATGTAAGGCATACTTTGAGTGAAGGTAATATCATCCCATGGGCTAGATCTCTGACAGAATAAAATTGAGAAAAAGATGAGAGAGGTTGGGGAGAGAGGGAGAGGGTAGAATTATAGGTTTTAGAAGTTATTTGTTATGAAAGAGGATATATACAGTACTACCTTAGAAATGATCATTTAGATATCTCTTTTTATGATCCTAGCCTTTTAAACACATCTGTCTCCTGGTATGCTTGTCACATTGATATTATGATACCTCAATTTTGGCTCACTTTCCAGAATGTTATTTGTGTCCAATTCATCCTCCTAGCTATGAAACCAAAATGCTCAGTGCAGCTGTATTCATGGAAAGAGTCACAGGAATTTTTTTCTCATTTCTCAAAAGCTAATCAAAAAGAAAGAGCTAATCAAAAGCCTAGAGTTTCTGTTTGGGGACAAATCTGCCTGTTTGGCCTCTGTGCTATTCTGTTTGTCTGTTGGCTAGTCTGTAGTTATTAAAGACTATGTGTTGGATTGTTCAATAGCATCATGTAATTTGGATAGCACAATCAAATTTGCATATCCCATTCAGCTGTTATGGAGAGAAGCCTGTTGCCATGGTGAGATTTATGACATCACATATCAGATAATTCCCAAAAGACGATGACCTTTGCGAAGCCACATGCAAATATCTATTGTCTTAGATACAGCTAGCTTCTGATGAAACACTGAATTACCTTTTCTCATGCATTAAATGAGAAACCCACAATACATGGTTTCCCCTTTTTGTTACAGTAAACTCCCACCTCCCTCCATGCCTGAAGTGCAAGAATCAGATGCTATTGGTTGTTCTTTTCAGCTGTATAAATGAAGATCTTGCTTGTTTCATTTACAACTTAACCAAGACATTGTCCTAGGGCTGACTGCTAGGGAAATTAGTGTATTGTTTTGTTTTATTATTTTGTTTTGGTGCCAATCAAAGGGCCCATCGCAGCTCTGAGTTGAGTCTACCCCTCCAGTATCTTTTCATCCTGAGCTTAACTATGAGTTCAGAACTCCACAGATCCTTCCATGTAAATCAGGGTCGGGTTTCAAACTGAGGATTTTACTAAAGATGTGCATCACATTTTAATATAATTTTTGAAATGTAGTTTTGTCACATTTGAGGGCTGTCAACTTAAGAAAAATGAAAGGTATTTAAAACCTTTAACAAAGTTTCTGAGTCAAAATTCTTGAAATGCCACCGTGAATGGCCGAGTTAGTTTATAATAGTTACAGACTAAAGTCATAATTAGCTAGTGATTTAATTAGTTTAACAGTCTAATGAATAATGTAAACATACATGCTAATTTCATCAAATGGCCTATTTCTGAAGTTTATTATGAAACCTCTTTTAATTGTGGGGGTTCATAACACAGGTAAGTCTGAGAGATATAAATTTACAACCTCTACAAAACGTCTTCTGAAAATAAAACATTTTTTTAAAGAGTGGAAAAACAACACTGTCTTGCAGCATTGTAAAGTTGATGACCCCTATGTTTGCGTTTCAGATCCCCAGCTCAAGGGCATAGTGACCAGGTTATATTGCAGGCAAGGGTACTACTTGCAGATGCACCCTGATGGAGCTCTCGATGGAACCAAGGATGACAGCACCAATTCCAGTAAGTGATCAACTGAGTCAGCTACTCAAATGGCTTTGTGTGATACATTTGTAAGTGCTTGGCTCTGTTGGTTTGTTTCTAGTTGCCTGCTAGAATGCATTTATCTTTCACTGAATCCTGTAACAGGAAAAACAAAAGACCCAGAGACTGATAATGGGGTTCAAACTTCAAGCTGAGTATCAGAAAAGCAAAGCAGACAACCAGTAGATCTTACCTCTACCATGCTGAAATGGCAATCCTGTCTCTGTGAATTCTCAGAGGCAAAAGCTCTGAGTTCCTGTCTCCTTCTCCTTTTATTTGTTTCTCTGCCCAGCCACATTACTCATGTCTTCACCTTCCTAGTGCTGGGATTAAAGGTATGTGATCCCAGGTGCTGAACTTTTGTGTGAGATGTTTTATTTTAGAACTAGATCAATTTTATTTAGCTCAGTGTGGCCTTGAACTAACAGAGATCCATCTACCTCTACCTTCCAAGTGGTGGGATTAAAGGTTTATACCACCACACCACTGCCAGGCTTCAATAGTTGATTAGTATGACTGCTTTGCTGTTTTGATCTCCAGTGGTTTTGATAAATCATAAAGAGTATATCACCACAGAGACCACATGTGTGAAAGTATTAAATGCAGAAGAAGGCACCTGTTATTTTAAACTGAGTGTATTTTCTTTTGCTCACACAGTGGTTATGTCCAGAACATTACTTTCTGTCCTCTGATCATAACAGTTATGCACACTAATACACTCGTATAATAGTTAATGTCCCTCTCATAGAGAGAATATTAAGGCTATATACACATACACGTAAAATACATTGTACAAAAAATTGTCTTATTCAATAGCATCTGTGTTCATTAACTTAATCTATGTATCTTTTGTGATATTGATGTTCCTCTTTCATTTGCTATTTTTTATATTGAACTTGTTTACATTTTTCATGGGGTTTGTCTTCCTGTCTTGAGATCCTCATTTTCTCTCTCTCTTTTTTTTTTACCAGTTTTCTCTTTCATTTATACTTCAGCTTTGATTTCCTCTAATTTCACATGAGTTCACACACACACACACACACACACACACACCTTTTACTGCTGGGCTTGGTATACAATGTGTACATATACAGTTAGATCTGGTTGTGTGAAATATTCAAGGCTCATTTGAGGAGGTCCTTAGAAAATTTCTGTATGTTCTTAACCCATTTCTAGGGATTCTGACTTTGTTGGTCCGTGACTGGGTATGGTCATCTTATTTCAAAAATAGATACATTTTTGCTTACATCCAAGGTTGAAATCTTCTGCTATCTGCAGACCAGAAACACAATCACAAGGACATATTTATTTTTATTTCTCTAAGCTTGGCTTTACTGCTTTGTAATTACATGCAATTCAAGAAGAATGGGAAATAACATATTTGTGTTTTTAACTAGCACTACACATCATCTATGGTTAGCTCCACATTGTTAATTTGTAAATGACAAGTGTTTGAATTTTCCTGGACAAAATCCTGAGAAAAGGAGGACAGTGTAATTTTTGTTATGTTTATTTAAGCCACATTTTAGGTACTTTTTCACTTCCCATATTATATTATATATTAGGGTATTCATTATTATTCTTGCCTTTGGGGAATTATACTAACTAATTGACATGACATATTCAGAAGTCACAATATACTTTTAAAAGGAAGATACAGAGATCCAAATAAATAAGTTTGAAATTGTCCAGGTTGTGTAGTTACATAGACAGATGTCAGATTATATTTTACCTTAAAATTATGCACAGAAATTAGGGATTATCCTACAGTGCCCATCCTTTCAAAATTTGGGGAGATAACAAAGATGTGAGTGAGCATAGTTTTCACATACAAAGAAGACACACAAAGAGTTGCCATGACAAAGTCTAGCACCCAAGAACACCATATCATACTCAATATTATAAAACAGGAATAAAAAGGAGTAAAACCTTTTCCTTTTTCTATGTCATAACCCTCCAAAATCCTTTGGAGGACAGTTCAATATTACTATGCATAGTAACAATAGTGCTCAACTATTCACATATTAGGCCCCAAATTAATCCCTGTGTAGTTGTCAAGACCATGACCTACTATTTTCCTTTCATCATTACTGGGATAGAGATATATTATGATCTTGGGATAAGGAATGTGTAATCATTGCAAAAGAGGGCATACCTTTCTCCATTCTGCATAACATGCCCTTGAGAAGAAAACTACAACAACACTCGCTGCAGTGTTAGTATTAGTTTGCAATCATGTACTGAGTAGCCTTTAGAATAAAGCAATTGACATGTGTTCTGTGAAAGAGTTGAAGGCCTAAAGTTAAGACATTTTACTTATACATTTATGTCAAGAGCTGAGTGCTTCCCATGCCAATTCCCATTGCTCAGAAGTAAATTCAAATTAAGGGCTTGAATAAGAGCAGATAATTAATTGTGTTCTTGTTAATAACACTTGTACAAAAAATTTTGCTGGAAGACCCACTAAATAGTCTCTGTGTAGGAGAGATATTACGGTTGATAATATCCAAGATGATGTGAGTACACTTTGTGAAAATATAGTGTATTAGAAGGGAAGAAAAATGAAACATAAATTGGTTTTAATTTGCTAGATATATAAAACTGAACATGGTTATTTATTACTTATAATAAATAGTTTTATTATAAATTTATAAAGCATCAATAAATAAAATTCTTTCTTGAAAATTTGTAAGCCATTTGATTTTATTAGTACCTTCTAACTTTATTTCATGGGCAGCTGAGCATCTTTTTTTCTGGCATTTCACGTTGCTCCTGCCAAAGTATTTTACTTCTGAACTGCTAGCCTATACTGCACTGCAATGCCCAGTCCCACAGCACAGAAAATGACAGTCAACCTCCAAGTTGTACTTTTTAAATTCTGCTCCTTGAGAATACCCATAGATGATTTTTTTTGGAACCTAATAGGATCAGAGACTTTGACAGTAGAAGCATCATTACAGTCTTGACATTCTCCTGTCTCACAATTCTTTCAGAATGATGGGGCAAACCTACTAAGGAGAAGCTGAAGCTGAGCTGCTCATTTTTCTTTATGGTAGTAGCTTCTTCATGATAAACAGAAGCAACATTTCTTTAGTTGAAGCTTGGAAAATAGAAATATATGTGATGCTTCTTAAATAACAGAAGGAGAAGGGGAAGTATTATGGAAATGCTTTGCTTCTTATACTGCTTGGTAACATAACCTTTGTCTTAAACAGCATTGTTCAACCTCATCCCAGTGGGACTGCGTGTTGTTGCCATCCAGGGAGTGAAGACAGGGTTGTACATAGCCATGAATGGAGAAGGTTACCTCTACCCATCAGTAAGTGAGAAAGTCAATTACATTGACCCTCAGTATGTTGTTGGTGAAATAGAAAAATCAGCAATAGAAGTCAAATATGTGTGTGCATGTGCTCTGCCACTTTGACTTTGGGATTTGGTCCTTATGGGACAGTTGTAGGAACTGCTTATGAATTATTCATCAGTGTTTGGTGACAAGAGCACATCTGAAGGAATATAAATCCTACATCTTGAAATGTGTTTGCCGTATTTTAAAAGGTGACCTACTTCATAAAAAGAATCAAAAAGTTGCTGTTAGTATGATCATTTTATTTCTGTTTATCAATGCACTTGATTTGGAGACTTTCAAAGGAGGTACCCGTGATATATATTTTCTCTTATTAATTTATTTTTACTCAGTTTAATAACTGAATGTTTATCTGTGTCAATATGCTGTGTCAATCTTTTTATATGTGCAGATTCAGTAAAGATTGTTAATATGCCTGTCAGCTCACTAGCATAGTTTTTATTAAAATGATGTTCAAATGTGTTTTCAATTTCAAAATATGCAAAATATTTATTGTACTCATCATACATGCAGTGACTACTATGACTTATTTCTCTTTGATCAGTGTCTCCTCTTTCCCCATCACTTCTGGAATAGACTGGTATGGTCTCTATTTCAATAATTTTTTTCATTTCCAAATATAGTATATCCTCTCTTTTACAGTTGGAATCCAAAATCCTTATTGCTAAAACAGAGACAATATGAGTTTTGAAACTGAGAATATGAGAATCCAAGATTCTCTGTGGATACCACAGTCTGGGAACTCAAAGGCATCTTGTTGACTAAATTTCCTCATGTGTACCATATCTACAGTTTTGATGATGCTTATATAATGTGAATAATAAGGAAAGGAGATCGTTGTTTTATGTATTGCTAGAGAATAATCACATGAGAAAAGTCTATATGCATTCAGTCCAGACACAGGTTTTTATAATATTATGATTGAGTACATTGAAGGTATATATACTAAAACAGTCGATATAGAGTGACAAATGTATTTGTTTTAATTGGAATTCAAAAAATGGAAATATTTTAGTAGAAAAATTCTAATAATGAAGTATGTATCTCTCACAAAACTAAGCATGAATGTCTGGGGATTTTGTTGATATTTATTGGAAGCAGACCAATTTTTCTTCTACATAGCCTCCACTGAATTTTTTTCATTAGCTTATTTATTTTCCACCAGATATGCTGTGCTCATGCACTATAACAGAGTTGGAATCTCTTTCCATTGCTAGTAAAATAATTACATACTTGATCACAAGTGCTCCTTTCCACTACTCTTTTTAGCAAAAATCAATAGATTGCAATGCAAATGTCTTAAAATACATTCTTCTTTGAGTTTGCTTTCCATTTTCTTATAAATTCTTAGAATGTTTGTTGTTATTCAGTATTACCAGCAAAACTCTAATATTCAGTTATAATACTGTCATATATTTATATATCAATAATATATGACTTCATACACATATCATATGCAGTAAAAATTCTCTTCAGCCTTCCACAGCTGGTAATCTATTTTTCTGGCAAATCTGGAAACTCTGTCAAAGGGAACCGCAATGTAGCAACAGAGCCCCTCTTATATAATCTCACCCAAGGGTATTCCAAAGCAGAGAACTGGGTATTACATTATGCAAATTGTGTACTGCTGCAGGAGATGAATATGCAACATGCTGTGAGAAAGATCAAGATAGAATTTCTTACAACTTGTCTAGGAAAATAAATACAAAATGAGATCATTTCTAGAGATGACTCATTTCAGATACAACTCAATTTTGCTGATTTACCATTTGTTCTGTTATTTTTGTTTACTTTCCCCACCCAAGTAATGTCTTTAAGTAATCTAACCATCACTAGATGTACTGCCAAACATATAATTCTTCCTTTCCGTTGTAAATTTTACTGCAAGATTGTTCTCTCATGTATATGCTATTATCAGAGCATTTTTGTTTGTTTTACCTTTTTGCTACTATGGGTGATACTTTTAATTATTGCGTATTTTGAGTCAGACTATAATTGTAATATAGTCTTCTCTGAAGATATTCTCTTGGATGTGAATTTTGGCCAAGAATAAATTCTAGCACATTTAGAGCAATTTATCACTATAGTAGCAATGAAAACAAGGCAGCTACACCAAGTCCAACCACAAGCATTTTAAACATGGTTCCCTTTTTCAGGATTCAGAATTTATGAAGTTGCTGTGGTGAACAGTACTTGTAACAATAATTACTTACGGATCTTGTTGCATTTTCTTCATCTGGTTTTGTGGATGGTTGGCTTCTGGACATCCCTTGTGGCGGCATGAAGTCTTTGCTGTACAAATTTTAGTTTAGCTTCTTCCCATCTTTTGGTAACATGAACCCAGATTATGTCCTAGCTGAAGTTATTTCCCTAGCCCAGGTTGGTGGGCAAGGTGCCTGTCATCATTCTCATCTTTTGGGAAAGAGACTTCGATAAAAACCCCGTACAATTTCAAATCTTTTTCATATGCAACAGTTAAAAACTCCATCGATTTCAACTAAATACAGTTTGAATTTTAAATATTTTAGTGGAAATAATGGTTTTCCATAATTAATAATTGCATAAGTAACCAACTACCAACTAGGATAATAACATAAAATATGATATACAAATTATTTTGCTTTATAATAAAAATTAAATTATAATACTCATAGTAGTATTTGTTAACTGTCCAGTATTCCAGTCATGAATTAATTTGCTTGATCATCTTAGCAACCTTTAGTATATAAGCATAATTGTTATATCATGATATAATGTAAATAAAATAAAGACACTTATATTCAGACTGCATACAAGTTTGCTGTAAATTCCTGTAGTAGGCAGAAGCAACAGAATCTGTTCATAGTCTGATTCACTGCTTTGCACTTTTAGATAGTTTACCATCCTGTCTCCATTTGAGATATTCTTCATTATACGACCTGGCATCTGTTATAATGAGAACCTAAAATGCATAGTGATGTAACTAAAACCTTTGGAAGAATAAACTTTATTTCAGGACACTCAGAAATAATTTGAGGAGCTGACAAATCGACTCAGTGGTTAAGAGCATTGACTGCTCTTCCAGAGGACCTGAGCTCAGTTTTTAACGTACGTTGTTTGGCTCACAATCACCTGTAACTCCAGCTCCCAGAGATCTGCCCTCCAAGGGCACACACACACACACACACACACACACACACACACACACACACACACACACACGGTTTGTGTGCTACTGTACATACATACACTCTCACAAGTCAATCTTTTAAAAAGAAAATTTAACTTAGTAACTTTTCAGTGTATTATATGAAACCTGTTTTTATCAAGGATCTGTTTTTTTTGGGGGGGGGATGCAAGTAATAAAATAGGCCATACCAACTGAATTGTGTTCCTTGACCTTACACTAGTAAGGTCATGTATTTCTCTATTTTAGGAAAACTTTTGCAATACCTTGTTATCTAAATAAAGATCTTCAATATGTTCAATAATGATAGTTCTACCTTGTGGGGACTAAAATGTTATCTTCACTAAGATATGAATAATCATATTCCCAGTATTGGAGGGAGTTGTTGCTTGTGGAAACTGTTTTTCCATATGACAATAGCTATTTTTGTGGTCATACTGATTACAGTATGTCACTCGATATGGGTCTCAAGAGATTTAATGTCATATGAATGATTTGTTGGGTGATATAATACAAACTCTCAGGTCAGAGAACAAAAACCAGCAAATACATTGTACAAAAAAAATAAACAGGTTAAAATACTGCTTTAACAAAGTCTATTTAAGCTAGCTAGAAAACTACCTATTGTGCTAAGAGAAACAGTCAGGTGTTTTGTTTTATTTTGTTTTGTTTTACCAAACAACCTACTTGTGAAAGATTAAGCAATACCCTGTGGTGGCTGAGAGATGGCTCAGCACTCATTGCCTTTGAAGAGGACCTGAGTTTTATTCCAAGGACCCAGATGGATCCCACAAGCATTTGTGACTCTAGTTCTAGAATTTCTGATGCCATTGTCTAGTTTCTGTGGGCACTGCATATGTGTCCTTGAATAGTATATCAGTATCATCCTGTTCTCTATCAATGGCTCAGGGAATGTTGTAGAAGAAGAGTATCACAAATGTAAGAGTGGGAGGATGGGGAGAAGTGATATTTACAAGCCATCAACATTTGGATGGTGCAGACACTCATGGGATCCCTTCCCCAACTGGGAACTTTGGTGGTTAGTGGCTGCTGGAGAAGAAAGAATCACTTTATTCAGTAGTGTATACATCAGTAATACAAAGGCTCACACAGGAGGCTCACACAGGCAACTCTAATGAAATTCAGTGTTTTTTACACACACACACACACACACACACACTGCGAAAGTAGTAGGGGAAGACCACTTGGGAAAAAGAATTGAGCCATCCAGAGTTGGGGATGTGTAAAAGATGGCAATATGGTTGAATATAATCATGATATGTTATGTACATTTATGAAATTTTTGAATAAGAAATTTTATAATATAACATGTGAAGATAGAACTGTTCTGTGATAGATGATGTTTATTATCCTTTTATTTATACTTGGGTGACAAAGATTTAGAAATGAAATCAATAGCCTTATAATGGTAAGGGAAGAAAGTAGATAGAACTTTAGTAAAGCATCTTATTAAGACTTTTCAGCATATTTTACTTAATTCACAGGAACCAATTTAAATTAGAAATTATACAGCCAGACTATTTAAATTCATTACTTGAGCTTTCATAGAAACAATTCTGATGTGTAAGAAGGAAACCTTAGGTATTCACACTGTGTTTCACAGATTTCAACCTGCATAAGACTTATGTAGAATGTCTTGTATATATCTAGGCCTCAAAATATTGACCCAGCAGATTTTGATACTCCAGTAAAGTAAGTTCAAAAACCTTGAAAATCATGAGTCTGAATGTGTTGTCATTCTAGAGCTAGTACCCCAAAAATGCATTGA